TTCCCGTGTGTGTGTGTGTGGGGGGGAGGTAACGCCCCCCGTCGCTATTCCCCGTGTGTGCGGGGGTGTGTGTGACTCATTTCCCCCCGCCCCCACGGTCACTATTCCCCGTGTGTGTGCGTGTGGGGGTGACTCACATTTCCCCCCGCCCCTCTCTCCGGTCACTATTCCCCGTGTTTGTGTGTGTGTGTGGGGGTGTAACTCACAATCTTCCTTCCCTGGTCGCTATTCCCAGGGTGAAGTGTGTGACTCTCATTCTCCTCCCCAGTTGATATTCCCGGGGGGGGGGGGCGTCATTCATTTCCTCTACCCCAAGCTTTGCTGCTCTACAGTCACTATTCCTTAAGGTTTATTATACCCCATCAATTCCCCCTTTCCCCGAGTCACTATTTCTTGGGGATGTCCCACTTTCTCCCACCAGTTGCTATTGAGATGGAAGGGCATCTCATTTCCCTTTCTCCTGGTGGGAGCTTTCACACCTCTTCCACTATTACCTTGGTGGTTGAGCACAACATCCTCCATCTTTGGGAGCAGTGCAATGATCTTGGTCATAGGGAGGAAACTGCTCCTCCCTTGGTTGGGGCTATGGTCCTTACACTGGGGTGCCACCGCTTCTTATTGTCTGGCACATGCCAGGTCCTGGAGCATGCTGGTAGGGAATGAGCGTGGGAGAGGAGACTAGGGCAGGCAGCTGCTTCTTGGGAGGGCATCAGAGCGAGTATGCTAATAAATCTTTAGGTGTTGGCTGGTCTATGGGAGTCTGGTGAGGTCCAGAAGTGGAAGTTTAGCATCATGCTGGAAGTGGAAAATGGGAAACTAGGAGTTTACATCTCTTGGTTAAGCACGAGTGCTCAAGTTCCTTGATTTACACCCTTCTCTCCTTGTGTATGGGGGACGGGTGAGATACAGAAAGTGAGGCTCAGCACCTCCTGGGGCAGTCTACTTTGAGGAGGGTTGGGAAGAAAACAGGGGTAGTTTCTTCCCCTTGGGAATGCAGGCCTAAAATAGGTCTGAGTTGCTTTCTCTGGGATTTGGAATTTTGTAAGTAACATTAAACTTTCACCAAAAGCTTTCTCTCCTTTCTGCCTGTGAAATAGCAGCAGTCATTGAGTTTGAATATGCAGCACTGGGGAATATGCAATTCGTGGCATTATCAATAAGAATATATGAATTATCACTTCAGATTGAATTTTAAAATATTGTTAGTCCTTCTGACCTGAGTGGTTAGTCAAGTTTTGAGGGTCTGTGGGGAGTTTCCACCAACAGGAGGAACTGATGAAAGAGTCTGGTGGTACCTTTGATGCCATATTATTTATGTACATAGAATGTGCGAAGTCCTGTTTCCCCAAACACAGGAGGAACCAAAAATAACAGGAGGTAGTTTCTTTGCTCGCAGTCCCAAGCTGCCTCTTGCCAGTTTCTCTAGGCTCTCTGTGTGTCATCTGCTCTCTTCAGTCTTTCTGTCTCTTTTCCTGTCTCTCTCCTTGAGCTGTGTCTGTCCCACACACAGAAAGCCGGGTCTACTCCAGTATCGGGGGTAGCCGTGCTAGTCTGTATCCACAAAAACAACAAGGAGTCTGGTGGCACCTTAAAGACTAACAGATTTATTTGGGCATAAGCTTTCGTGGGTAAAAAACCTCACTTCTTCAAATACATGGAGTGAAAATTACAGATTCAGGCATTATATAATGACACATGAAGAGACGGGAGTTACCTCACAAGTGGAGAACCAGTGTTGACAGGGCCAATTCTGTCAGGGTGGATGTAGTCCACTCCCAATAATAGACAAGGAGGTGTCAATTCCAGGAGAGACAAAGCTGCTTTTGTAATGAGCCAGCCACTCCCAGTCCCTATTCAAGCCCAGATTAATGGTGTTAAATTTGCAAATGAATTTTAGTTCTGCTGTTTCTCTTTGAAGTCTGTTTCTGAAGTTTTTTTGTTCAAGTATAGCTACTTTTAAATCTGTTATAGAATGTCCAGGGAGAGTGGAGTGTTCTCCTACTGGGTCTACTCTAGAAAGTTTTGCTGGCATAGCTATGTTGGTTAGGCACGTGGGAAAAAACATGCCCCTAAATAACATAGCTATGCCGGCAACCCCACACTCCTTCCTCTCCCTCTCTTCCCACCCCCTCCCCACCCCTCCCAATGCAGATGCAGTTTATAGTGGCACAGCTTATGTCCTTTGGGGAGGTTGTTCAGCTAGCTATACAGTGCCAGAAAATAATTCCTTTTGCTGGTATATGCTGCATCTCCACTAGGGGGCTTTGCCAGCATAAGTAGACTGGTGGATCTGTATCTGCAAAATCTTTATAGTGTGAAGTTGCATTTCTTACATTTAACCAGTAGGAAGAGCAGCAGTTCACACTGATGCGTTTGAGGTTTTTTAGCCTAACCTATGAAATTATTATATTTATGCTGTTAATATAAATGTCTTTAGCCATAACTGGCACAATTACTTTGCATAATTTCATATATTGTTTCTCTCTTCTTAGTTTTTGACTGAAATGGTGCAAATGACACTGACATGGGGGCAAAATGAAGGAAAAAATGATAATATTGGACTTGTGGGTGAAAAATGACTGAGAATCAAACCCTGGTTTATGTGCGTGCTTTTAAATTTCTCTTAAATTTTTTATCTTTTTCACCACTTGATCGCTGGCTCACATCCATCCCAGGTTGTCCATATAATGGTAGCCTATATGAAATAAATTTGAGGTTTTGAGCCCCAGTCCTCCAGTGTTTCTGTCAGTGACCCCACATTGACTTGACTTAGGCTGTGTAGGAGCAAGAGTCAGTCCATGCAGAATCTGATTGATTTTCAGTGGGTATCTGCCAGCACAGAGCTTACTGCAGCATAAGGGCTTCAGTACATTTCTCAGTGGATATATGTTCATCTCACTCAAACCATCATCTACAATGGCACTTTTAGCACCATTGGAATGTTGGCAGTCAAAGTGGAGCGGCAAAGAACCGTTTAGGCCACGGAGACTGAAATCTTGCCATAGGTTAATATTGAGGCACATTGGCAGGGCAGTGCCATCGCTCTCCCCCTGTTGCTGTTGCCTGGTGGGGAGGGGTAAATGTCTCATTCCCCTGGTGGGAGGGGCTGTGTGTGTGTTGTTTTTTTTTTGGCTCGTATTGTATTTGTTTGGCTAAATATTAATGAAAGTCTTTATCCCGTTGCAGCTAAGCGCTGTCACCAAAAATAACATCAGAAACTACATGATGCTACACACAATGGGCAGCAAAAATGCCTTTGCTGTTTTTTTAAAATCTGAATAGTCAAACTTTCTCACACATGCACAAAGCAATAAACCAAGCAGCAGACTAAATAGAAATAATTTGAAGCCGAACCCTGCAGATCACCAAACCAGTTCTGACAGTCTGCCAAAGTGAGGAGGTTCCAAGGTAAGGGCATGATGCGAAAAAAGCTCTATTTTCAGCCCTGAAAGATCAATTCTAAGAACTGATCAAAAGTGCTGATTTAAGCAGCCATGACCTGGTATAAAGAGACAGCTTATGAGGTAGCCAGTTTACAGGAATTTAGTGTACAGGGCTCTCAATATGGTATCTTTGAGAGACCATCAACTACATGTTTCTATCTGAATGTGTTAATTTAATCTTACATGCAGTGCAGGTGTAGCTGTGTTGGTCCTAAGATATTAGAGAGACAAGGCAGGTGAGGAAATATCTTTTATGGGACCAGATTCTGTTGGTGAGAGACAAGCCCAGACCTGAAGAAGAGCTCTGTGTATGTTCAAAAGTTTGTCTCACCAACAGAAGTTTGTCCAATAAAATATATTACCTTACCCACCTTGTCTCTTTAACTTAATATTATTACAAGCGACCCCCTCTTTTTGGCACTCTGTGATGCTCCCCAAGGGTACCCAGGATTGTGAGGCACCTTAGCATATGAAGCAGTCTTGTCTCTGCTGCAGATCAGCTCCCTCAAAACGACAGCCTCCAACAGCAAAATCCTATCTTCCAGGCCCCCACAGGCCTTGCTCTTTCTGTACAGGCTGTGATAGGCATACACCAACCACCAAGTCCTTCGAGCATTTCCTAGACCCTTATCCACTAAA